GAGTTTTCGACTTTTATTTGTGAAAGATTATACAGAATAGATTGCATTATCAATCTGCTGTTCTATTGCTATGTTTACAAATATTCCTTTGTTACTGTGGCTTCTGAAAGGAAACATGCATCAGCGGACATGATTGCATACATGTAGCAGTCATAAATAGCTATGTACAAGTTCAAAGGTTTACTATACATCCTTTTTGAAGATAAGGAGCAGCGAAGAACGTTGTCCGTCTCTCCTTTTGTGTGTGCGTGTGTGTGTGTGTGTGTGTGTGTGTGTGTGTGTGTGTGTGTGTGTGTGTGTGTGTATGTGTGTGTGTGTGTGTGTGTGTGTGTAAATGTTTATTTACATACATACATACATGCATATATACATAAATAGATAGATAGATAGATAGATAGATAGGTAGATAGATAGATAGATGTGTGTGTGTGTGTGTGTGTGTGTGTGTGTGTGTGTGTGTGTGTGTGTGTGTGTGTGTGTGTGTGTGTGTGTGTGTGTGTGTGTGTGTGTGTGCATTTGTATATGCGTATATATACGCACATATTCCCACTCATTACCCATCCCACACATGGCTATTAGTATACTCGTTTCACACACGGTCCAGCTTTCTTCCGATGGGTGAATTCAGCCGCATGCAAAGGCACTTTATTCGTCTTACTCTTTATTTACCGTTTAAGCTCCTCTACGCGCTCTCGACTGGTTGCCTTGGATGTGTATCGAAGCATCGCTAAAAGCCTAATCTATTTCTAACGTTTTTACAACACATTTACTCAGATATCAGTACATAAGCACTCATTAATAACAGACACACTACCACAGGGGCACGCTCTCTTAGAAATAAATATATACAGTAATAAAACACACACAGGAACTTATGTACACGTCGCCATCCCTTCGTAATTGTTTGTGATGTTAATGGTTAAGTGACGGATGTAAAGTTCAGCAGTTACAGCATCCTTCCGTCGGCTTTATTAACGTATCACTTCAGCGTCGCTACAGTATCCTCTCGCTGTTGTCCACGTCGGAGGAACTCTCCTCCTCGATAACCTCCGTGATGAGGTGTCCGAGGGCGCCCGTGCTCGCGACCGACAGACTCCGCTGCGACAGGTCCCGGACGTACCCCTCGTTCACGAAGGCGCTCAGGCGGTCCTTGGTCTTCGCGGGCGGGGCCTCCAGCTGGGTCATCGGCACCTCCTCCTTGTCCTCGGCGTCGGAGGAGCTCCTCTGGATGCTCTGTTGGAGGGCGATGGAGGCGGCGAGGGCGGGCGTGCACACCAGGGCTTGGGGCGTGACGTGTGGGGCCCTGCGGAGGCGGTCTCGCAACTTCAGCCTGCAAAAGGAGAGACCGGAAGTGAAGGGACGGCAGCAAGAAACAAGCCCGCAGCTGAATAACATTCATTATTCTGGTACAATAAATGCAGCTAAATGAAGAATTAATCGTATCTGTCGCAAAAGATATATCTGACTGAACGATTGATAGAATTTCTCCTATCAAAAGCTTTAGATAAAAGAACTGATTCTTCCTGGTACTTGAATGCTTGACAATTTCAGACCAAAAAAAAAATGATTATGACGGTAGATTTTGATTTTAAAAAAAAACTTTCAATGACTGGAAACCCAATATGAGCTATGAATGATGATTAGATGGACTTGATAACTTTCTAATTGAATTTTTTATAAAAAGATAAATAAAAACTTATATAAATTTATATATATATGTGTGTGTGTGTGTATGTGTGTGTGTGTGTGTGTGTGTGTGTGTGTGTGTGTGTGTGTGTGTGTGTGTGTGTGTGTGTGTGTGTGTGTGTGCGTGTGTGTCTATCTGTGTGTGTGCGTATGTGTGCATAAGGATCCGCGGGACAACGTACTTCTGCTTGTTCATGTTGTCAGCATAGACGGAGCCGTCGGTGGACCACACGTAGCGGTTGGTTCCCCGACTTGGGCGAAGAATGAGCGACGGCTGAAGAAAAGAAAGGAAGGAATAGATTTTACGATGAAGAACATTAAATTCAGAGATCTTTTTTACTCTGTCAAGCTTCGGTTTCGTAATCAGCTTTTATTGCATAAGATTGTTCTTTTAGTTTAGTTTAGTTCTCTTTTATTTTGTTTTACTTATTTTATTTTATTCATTTTTTTTTATTTTGATTTATTTTAATTTATTTTCTTTTAATTTATTTTAATTTATTTTCTTCTCTTTTATTTTATTTTATTTTATCTTGTTTCTTCTCCCTTTCTTCATGCTCTGAACATTATTTTATTTTACCCCCGTTTTGTTTTCTTTTCTTTTCTTTCTTTCTTTCTTTTTCCTTACGATGCTCTGAAAATTATTATTTTTTAACCTCTTCCCTTTTCGTCGAAATCCCGTGTACAGTCTTACCCTCAGTCTATCTATCCACTGTCTATCTATCACTTACCTCTCCACCTGTTAAGTTTATCAATACAATTTAAAATTTACTTGTCACTTACCCCTTCATTTAACTGTTTAAGATTCTTTGGTTAAATCACTGCCTTTATTACGTCAGAAGAAAGGAAAGGAAAAATATAACGAAAAAAAGGGAGAAAGAAACAAAGAAATAATAAAAAAGAAGAAGAGGAACAAATAAAAGAATTAGAGGTGTGATTTTATTTTGATTTTTTTTTTTCAGTTTAATCCAAAAATTTCAAGCAGAATGAATTTTACATATATACACACTTTACATGTGTATATTTCGAATGTACTATACTATGGCGAAAAAAAAATATTTGGTACATGTTGAAAAGGGAAGAGAAGATAAAAATTATATGTAAGAAAACCATACGAATAATATCAATAAAAACAACATTTACTGAAATAGCAAAAGGATGGCTTTCTAGTTCGGAATTATTGCTTACACAGCCAACTTATAACCAGCATTTGATATAAAACTCCCTCGGTTTAGTTATATACCACACCGATTGCAGAATGAACACGACTATCCAAAGGAACTGTTTAAAATGGCATCTTGCTTCATAAAATTGGCAGATACGTGTGTCTATACAAAAATAAGGGATTTAATACACTAGGGAGTCATTAGGGATGCCCAGGGGTCTGTTATACATATGGTTAAAATCAGGATATGTGAACCGATAAGATAAATGAACAAGTGTTATTAAGTGATCTGTGCTCAGCTTGTAAGAGTTTATGTCCACATATGATAATAGATTAGATTATGAATAGAAATGATAATTAAGAAACATAATAGGAATAACTATAGTAATGATGATAATAATGATAACATTCATCATAACAAAAGTAATAAGAAAGAAAATAATGATAACGAAAATAAAAATAATCGTTATCATCATTATCATCATCATCATCATCATTAGTAATAGTAGTAGTATTAGTAATATTATTATTATTATCATTATTATCATTATCATTATTATTATTATCATCATTATTATTATTCCTTTATGCATACAAAACGTCCCAGAAGTTACACCATAACCAAGGATGAAGATAAGAAGCGGGGAACTGGAAAAGAAGAGAGGAAATCGAAGAGAATAGGAGAGAAGAGAGAAAGAAGAAGGAGAGGAAATTAAATGATTCGGGAGAGGGGAAAGAGAATCACTGGAGAAGATGTGGAAAGGGGAAGAGACTGAAGAAAGAGAAAGTGGGAATTCGATAAGGAAGAATGGAATATGGGTGAAAGGGGGAAACGGGAGAGAGAGACGGGGGCGTGGAGAGAGAAAGAGAGAGACTGACAGACAGAGAGAGAGAGAGAGAGAGAGAGAGAGAGACAGACAGAGAAAAAGAAAAATAAATAAAATAAACCATAAACATACCAAAAAACAAACACAAAAAAACACCTTACCTTCTTGCGATAGAAGCAAGTGAAAGTCACCCTAAACGCCCGCCTAAAAGTCTGGTGCATCAGGGCGTATATCAGAGGGTTCACGGCCGTGTTGGTGTACATCATGTAATGAGAGACGCTCAGCAATACCTTATACTAAGAGAAGAGAACTTGGTATTAATGATATGGTTTCAGTGTCAATTATCCGTTGGTTCGGAAAATTGCTTCGAATGTTGGTTCACTTGTTTATAAATTGTTACGGTTCATGGGTATTTGTTGTTTCGGAAAATTGTTACGAATGATGTCTCTTGTTAGTAAAATTGTTACGAATGATGTCTCTTGTTAGTAAAATTGTTACGAATGATGTCTCTTGTTAGTAAAATTGTTACGAATGATGTCTCTTGTTAGTAAAATTGTTACGAATGATGTCTCTTGCTAGTAAAATTGTTACGAATGAGTCTCTTGTTAGTAAAATTGTACGAATGATGTCTCTTGTTAGTAAAATTGTTACGAATGAGTCTCTTGTTAGTAAAATTGTTACGAATGAGTCTCTTGTTAGTAAAATGTTACGAATGATGTCTCTTGTTAGTAAAATTGTTACGAATGATGTCTCTGTTAGTAAAATTGTTACGAATGATGTCCTCTTGTTAGTAAAATTGTTACGATGATGTCTCTTGTTAGTAAAATTGTTACGAATGAGTCTCTTGTTAGTAAAATTGTTACGAATGAGTCTCTTGTTAGTAAAATGTTACGAATGATGTCTCTGTTAGTAAAATTGTACGAATGATGTCTCTGTTAGTAAAAATTGTTACGAATGATGTCTCTTGTTAGTAAAATTGTTACGAATGAGTCTCTTGTTAGTAAAATGTTACGAATGATGTCTCTGTTAGTAAAATTGTTACGAATGTTGGTTATCTGAAATTAATGAGATTGTTATCAATGTTGGTTATCTGTTGTTAATGAGATTGTTATCAATGTTGGTTATCTGAAATTAATGAGATTGTTATCAATGTTGGATATATATTATTATTATCATTATTATTATCATTATCATTATTATTATTATTATCATTATTATTATTCCTTTATGCATACAAAACGTCCCAGAAGTTACACCATAACCAAGGATGAAGATAAGAAGCGGGGAACAGGAAAAGAAGAGAGGAAATCGAAGAGAATAGGAGAGAAGAGAGAAAGAAGAAGGAGAGGAAATTAAATGATTCAGGAGAGGGGAGAGAGAATCACTGGAGAAGATGTGGAAAGGGGAAGAGACTGAAGAAAGAGAAAGTGGGAATTCGATAAGGAAGAATGGAATATGGGTGAAAGGGGGAAACGGGAGAGAGAGACGGGGGCGTGGAGAGAGAAGAGAGAGACTGACAGACAGAGAGAGAGAGAGAAGAGAGAGAGAGAGAGAGAGAGAGAGACGAGAGAGAGAGAGAGAGAGAGAGAGAGAGAGAGAGAGAGAGAGAGAGAGAGAGAGAGAGAGAGCGAGAGAGCGAGAGAGAGAGAGAGAGAGAGAGAGAGAGAGAGAGAGAGAGAGAGAGAGAGAGAGAGAGAGAGAGAGAGAGAGAGAGAGAGATCCATAGAGACACAGAGAGAGAGACAGACAAACAGACAGACAGAGAAAGACACAGAGAGACAGACAGAGAAAAAAGAAAAATAAATAAAATAAACCATAAACATACCAAAAAACAAACACAAAAAAACACCTTACCTTCTTGCGATAGAAGCAAGTGAACGTCACCCTAAACGCCCGCCTAAAAGTCTGGTGCATCAGGGCGTATATCAGAGGGTTCACGGCCGTGTTGGTGTACATCATGTAATGAGAGACGCTCAGCAATACCTTATACTAAGAGAAGAGAACTTGGTATTAATGATATGGTTTCAGTGTCGATTATCCGTTGGTTCGAAAAATTGCTTCGAATGTTGGTTCACTTGTTTATAAAATTGTTACGGTTCATGGGTATTTGTTGTTTCGGAAAATTGTTACGAATGATGTCTCTTGTTAGTAAAATTGTTACGAATGATGTCTCTTGTTAGTAAAATTGTTACGAATGATGTCTCTTGTTAGTAAAATTGTTACGAATGATGTCTCTTGTTAGTAAAATTGTTACGAATGATGTCTCTTGCTAGTAAAATTGTTACGAATGATGTCTCTTGTTAGTAAAATTGTTACGAATGATGTCTCTTGTTAGTAAAATTGTTACGAATGTTGGTTATCTGTTGTTAATGAGATTGTTATCAATGTTGGTTATCTGAAATTAATGAGATTGTTATCAATGTTGGTTATCTGTTAATGAGATTGTTATCAATGTTGGATATATATTATCAGTATTATTCATTATTAGTAAAAGACATAAATTTTGGTTATCTAGTGTTGAATTTATTGGGAAGCATTATTGTCAGTGGTTTCTATTCCACAAAGAGAAGCGAACGAATAATATAAGAAAACAATGGAAGAAAAAGAATGTGTAATAAAAGGTATGAAGAGAGATTATGGGAACGTAAATTTTCTCTTCTGTAAATTATAGCTGCCATATGTTGCCACGGTTGTCATATGTCTTTTTATTCTTCTTTTCCCTTTCCTTTCCTTGTATTTTATTGTATCCCTTAATCTGTCTTTATTTTCTGTCCTACTAAGTCATGTAATATTAACCTAGTTATTCTTTTTCGTTGTAAACTATCTTTATATTATCATTTCTCTTATTTTTGTTTCGTTTTTCTTTTCTTGTTTAGAAAAATAAACACTAAACCACATTCTCGTAGCAAAGGCGAGTACAATTAAAAAGTTTAAAGGGGGTGTCTCTAGGGTAGGCTCGTGACGCTCAGGCCTAGAGAAATTACCTCAGATCGTAGTAGACTCTGGAAATGCAATGTAGCTCTTAATTATCTCTATTACTTAGTTTTAAAGAAGGAAACATTTAATTGAGCCATTTATGACTTGTGTATGTGTATATATACATATAAACATATATATATGTGTGTGTATGTGTGTGTGTGTGTGTGTGTGTGTGTGTGTGTGTGTGTGTGTGTGTGTGTGTGTGTGTGTGTGTGTGTGTATATATGTATATATATATATATATATATATATATATATATATATATATATATATATATATATAAATATATATATATGTATATATATATACATATATATATATATATATATATATATATATATATATATATATATATATATATATATATACATATACAGTACGTATATGCAGACACAGTAACATGTACACAAATAAGAATAGGAAAACAGACAGAGTAAGAAGCGAAATTAAATCGTCAAGAGTTTTTCGACAGACGGTTAAGTAACATAAATGGATACACAGAGAGAATTCTGACAAGACTGTATAGTGGTAGAGAGACAATACGAGCAAGAAACGCTACTTTTTAATTTCTTACTGTGGATACACACATACATACATATAATTAATACTTACCTCAGCTTCTTTATCAGGCAAATACTGGCCAGAGTCATCGATGTATTTGTCCTCGAAGATTTTCATGATCTGGAAGGGCAGCCAACTCAGGATGAAGACCAACACGATCACGAACATCATTCTGACCACTCGCTTCTTCAGGTGCAGGATGGCTGGGTGCTCTGGGCGGGGACGGAGGGGGAGGGGTGAAATGTACACGTACACGAGTGTGTATGTATATATATGTATATATGTATATATATATATATATAATATATATATATATATATATATATATATATATATATATATATATATATATATATATATATATATGTACATGCATGCATATACACACACATACATACATACATACATACATACATACATACATGTATATGTACATATACATATATACATAAATAAAAATATATTCCTGTAGCAATTCCAACCTGAGCGCGCCCATCCCTCACCTCTCCTGGCCGTGACCGGAACGCCCTTCCGAAGGTACACGAAGATGACCGTGTACGAGATGACCATGATGAGCAGCGGCAGCCACGTGAGGGCGATGATGACCGCGATCCACCAGATGCGGAGTTCGTCGCGCTGCTCGCCGCACGTGCGCTCCGTAATGTCCTGCCAGATCCGCACCTGCGGGAGATGCGGGGGGAGAGGGGAAGTGGAGGGGGAGTCTGGGGAGAGCAGGTCACTCGCGCGGGCTCCAGGGTGAGCTCAGGCGCTTGCTCGCATATTTCCTGAATTTTTCTCTTTTACACATGCACACGGATATTATATTACATGAATGCATATATATATATATATATATATATATATATATATATATATATATATATATATATATATATATATATATATATATATATATATATATATATATATTTAAAATATATATATATATATATATATATATATATATATATATATATATATATATATATATATATATATATATATATATATATATATATATTTAAATATATATATATATATATATATATATATATATATATATATATATATATATATATATATTTAAATATATATATATATATATATATATATATATATATATATATATATATATATATATATATATATATATATATATATATATATACGACCTCCAGCGACCCTCCCAAGCTCACCGTATAGACCCTGTAGAAGCTGAAGGGCAGGGCGAGCACGGCCGACAGGAGCCAGAAGCCGAGGATGATGGCCCGCGAGCCCCAGGAGCCGAGGTGCTTGTGGAACGGATACACGACGCCCATCATGCGGTCGAAGCTGATGGTGGCCAGCGACGTCACGCTCACCAGCATCACCAGGACTGCGGGGAGAGGGGGAGAGGAAAGGGGGGCGTGAGAGGGGGAGAGAAGAGGAGGGAAGAGGGGAAGGGGAAGAAGAGGAGGAGGAGGGAGAGGAGAGGGGGAAGTGAGAGTTAGAAGAAGAGGAGGGAGGAGGGGGAAAAAGAGGGGGAGAAAGAAGAAGAGGGGGAGGGAGGTAAAGGAAAAGAGGGGGAGGGCTCACCAGCATCACCAGGACTGCGGGGAGAGGGGGAGAGGAGAGGGGGGCGTGACAGGGGGAGAAGAAAAGGAGGAAGGAGGGGGAGGAAGAGGAGGGAGGAGGGAGAAGAAGAGAAGGGAAGAGGGGGAGAGAAGAGGAGGGAGGAAGGGGAAGAAGAGGGGGAGGAAGAAGAAGAGGGGGAGGGAGGTAAGGGAAAAGAGGGGGAGGGCTCACCAGCATCACCAGGATTGCGGGGAGAGGGGGGAGAGGAGAGGGGGGGGGTGATAGGGGGAGAAGAAAAGGAGGGAGGAAGGAGAAGAAGAGGAGGGAAGAGGGGGAGAGAAGAGGAGGGAGGAGGGGGAAGAGAGGAGGAGAGGAGGGGGGAAGGAAGAGGAGTGAGGAGGGAGGAGGAGAGGGGGACGTGAGGGAGAGAAGAAGAGGGGGAGGAGGGAGAAGAAGAGAGGGAAGAGGGGGAGAGAAGAGGAGGAGGAAGGAAGAAGGGGAGGAGGGGAGAGGAGAGGGGAGAGAGGGAGAGAAGAAGAAGGGGAGAGAGGGGGAGAAGAAGAAGGGGGAGGAAGGTAAGGGAGAAGAGGGGAGGGATCACTAAATCACAGGGGTAGGGGGGAGGAGAAGAGGGGGAGAGAGAGAGGGGGGGGAGAGGGGGAGAAGAGGGGGAGAGAAGGGGGGGAGGAGGGGAAAAGAAGGGGAGGGAGGAGGGGGAGAGGAGAGGGGGACGTGAGAGGGAGAAGAAGAAGGGAGGAGGTTAGGAAGAGGAGGGAGATGGGGAAAAATAGGGGGGGGGGGGCGTGAGAGAGAAGGGAGGTGGCCAGCGACGTTACACGCTCACCAGCTTCACCAGGACAGCGGGAAGAGGGGAGAGGGAGAAGAGGAGGAAGAGGAGGAGGAAGGTGATGGAGAAGAGGGGAGGGAAGTGAAGAAAAAAATGGAAGAAGAGGGAAAATAAAGAATAAGAGGAAGAGGGGAAGAAAAGGAAGGGGACGAGGAAGAGAGACATGAGTAGGAGAAATGAAACAGGGAAAAAATAAAGAGAGATAGAGAACGATAAAAGGGAAGGAGGAGAACGAATGGATGGAGATAAAGATGAGGATGCTGATCATGAACAACAGCCTCAGCCAAGAAAGAGGAAGAGGGAGAAAACAAGAAATAATGGGTAGGAGGAAATTGAGACAATGTAAGAAGACGAAGGAAAAGATAGAGAGGAAGGCAAAGAAACAGGAGAAAATAAAGACATAACAATAAGAATAGGAAGGAGGGATGAGAGAATATGGAAACGATACGGAATGGTAAATAGAATAACAATGATAAAAACAATAATACCGACGATATACTCAAATTCCATGATGATACTTATATCAGTAGTAAAGGTAATCAAAACAATAATAGTTATTTTTTAAAAATGGTAATGATTATGCAAATAGTAATAATAATTGTAATGATAATATTGACTATAACGAGTAGTAGTAGTAGTAATAATAATAAGAAGAAGAAGAATAAGAAGAATATGAATAAAAATAATGATAATAATAATGATAATGATAATAATAATGATAATAATAATAATAACAACAACAACAATAATAATAATAATAATAATAATAATAATAATAATAATAATAACAATAATAATGATAACAATAATAATAACAACAGAAATAATGATGATGATGATAATGATAATGAGAATAATGATAATGATGATAATAATAATAACAATAATAAAAATAATAATAATAATGATAATGATAATGATAATGATAATGGTAATGGTAATAATAATGGTAATGATAATGATAATGATAATGATAATGATAATGATAATGATAATGATAATGATAATGATAATGATAATGATAATGATAATGATAATGATAATGATAATGATAATGATAATGATAATAATGATAGTAATAGTAATAGTAATAGTAACAATAATAATGATGATGATAATAATAATAATAATAATAATTGTAGTAATAATAATAATAATGATAATAATAATAATGATAATAATAATAATAATAATAATAATAATAATAATAATAATAATAATAATAATAATAATAATAATAATAATAATAATGATAATATTAGTAATAATGATTATGCTGATAATAATAATAATAACAATAATAACATTAAAAATAATAATGACAATGGTAATAATAGTGATAATGACCATAATCATAATAGTGATAATGACCATAATCATAATTGTATAATAACAATAATGATAATGATAATAATGATAATAGTAACAATAATAATGATGATGATAATAATAATAATAATAATAATAATAATAATAATAATAATAATTGTAGTAATAATAATAATAATAATAATAATAATAATAATGATAATAATAATAATAATAATATTAGTAATAATAATAATAATAATAATAATAATAATAATAATAATAATAATGATAATAATAATAATGATAATAATAATAATAATAATAATAATAATAATAATAATAATAATAATAATAATAATAACAATAATAATAATAATAATAATAATAATGATAATAATAATAATGATAATAATAATAACAATGATAATAATGATAATATTAGTAATAATGATTATGCTGATAATAATAATAATAACAATAATAACATTAAAAATAATAATGACAATGGTAATAATAGTGATAATGACGATAATAATAATTGTATAATAACAATAATGATAATAGTAAAAATAATGGTAACAATATTGGTGAAAATGTAATAATAACTGAATAATAACAATAATGATAATAGTGAAAAATTATGATAAATTATAATAATTATGATAATAATGGTAATAATAATGATGAAAATAATAATGATAATAGCAATGATAATAATAATAATAGTAATAATCATCTTCATCTTCATCTTCATCTTCATCTTCATCTTCATCTTCATCTTCATCTTCATCTTCATCTTCATCTTCATCTTCATCTTCATCTTCATCTTCATCTTCATCTTCATCTTCATCTTCATCTTCATCTTCATGATCATCTAAATAATAATGATGATAATGATAATGATAATGATAATGATAATGATAATGATAATGATAATGATAATGATAATGATAATGATAATGATAATGATAATGATAATAATAATGATAATGATAATGATAATGATAATGATAATAATTATGATGATAATGACAATAACAATAACAATAATAATAATAATAATATTAATAGTAATAATTAGAATAATAACAACACCAATAATAATCATACCGATGATGATAATGACATTATAAATAATGACGATAAATAATAGTATTTGAAAATCATCTTTATAATAATAAAAATGATAATAATAATGTCAAGGGTGATGATGATAATGATAAGAAGAAGAAAAAAGAATATTAGTGATAAAGATATTAACTAACAATAGTAATAATGATAATAACAGCAACTGTAGTGTACGGCTGCACTCGCCGACTCCAAGGCCGATCTCGCCAGGACAGATATCGTACTCGGCCGCCACGTGGTTGAGGCCGGGTCTTGCCCATGCCACATGCCTGCCTTTCTACCACGAAGCTACGTGGTAGCTTCAACAAAGAGTCCTTGCGGCCTGATTGTGGTCTTGGTGCCTGACCAGCTGTGAGCACATATATGTATATAGAAGACCTTCTTGGACACAACCCAACCAGTATATCGGCTTCCAACGCGTGCTGCACCAGGCCCTGCCTTGGACACAGGGGTAGCCGCAGTGATTTTCTTGGCCCTGGTCCCCGCCGATGATCCGAGGAGGATTAAATGATGTGGGGAACCCTGTGATGCTGCCTTTGTCCTGGACGAGACGTCTCGGTCTCCACTTCCGCTAACGAAGCCTGAGGCTGCCGCCTCGCCTGCTTTGCGCCTCGCCCTCTCGGCTTGAGTGCGCCATCACTTCGCAGTCCCCCTATGAAGATCCTGGGCTATCCGCTCCACAAGCGGGCGTGCTGAATACAACACATGCCTGAGGGCTGGCCTTCGCCTGCTTTGCATTCTCACCCTCTTGGTTGGGGCGTGTTATAAAGTCCTCCACTTTTTTTCAAAGACCGGCCGCGCACCTCAGGAGGCTGGAGGCTGGTGCTTCACCCACCATTTGCGCCTCGCCCTCCTGGCTCGAATGTGCCATCATAAGCCGTGATCAATGCTGGAGACAGTTAATGTGGACTTGGTTATTTTTATGACCATAGGACGCATTTAAAACCAAACCTTATTACTTGAAAGATAAAGTACCTTCAGTGTTATCACATAGTTTTCTTCTCACAGCTTGATCTTTTACTATCTTGCCCTAATACTCTTTCTTGATGGGTTGTCTCGGTTGAGTCCTGCCTGATCTTGTGGGTGTTCAGGCAGTCTTTGTGATCTGTGCCCTTTGGTGTTGTTTTCCTTTTTACGTGACCTGCATCTCTATATTATTTCTTGCACACTGCATTTTTATATCTACACAAGAGCTTTATAAAGTGTTTATCAGCACTTGTTTTCTTCTAAGTTAATCTCCATTTTGGGTTAGAGAATAACTTGTGTAACTTAGGGATGCCAACTTGGGGGTAATTGAATGTTATTTTAAGAATATTTGGTGTTAGTTTTCACGTGCATCACCCCTGCTGTGATAAATTGGTGATGCACAAAGCTTTATCATTTTTCGTGAGTGAATTACTTATAGAACCCCCCAGTGAGTGCAACTTGCTTGTTAATTAAACCTCATACCATCGTAGAGCTTTCACACAGTCCCAGTCAGAAAAAAAACAAATGATATTTACCACCTCTAAGTTCTGGTGCTGTCTCTTAAACAG